ATTCGTTCTATTTGATTTACACAATTATTTCATTCTATTTCATCTCTGATTGCTGATTAATTTCTCAGCGCCAGCAGGTCGATTCCTCAACGCGAGCGCGCCGCTCGATTATTTCCCGCCGAATCCGTACGAGGACAAGGATCTCGCGCCAACTTACGAACGGCCGATCGATCGCGTGCCTAGAATGATAGGCCCCGCCGCGTTTTACGTGCCATTCCCAAAGAAGCCCGGTGGAAATCACTCGGGATGCTTCGACAAATTTCCATCGTATGCCGGCGAACCGTACGACGAACAGGCGAGAAGGGAAATGAAAAAGAAGCCGATCGGTGTATTTGTCAGCGGAGGACCACCGCGACGAACCAAGTATACCAGCAGCGTCATCGATCAAGTAACCAAAGTATCTTGCAACGCGACGAATTACGTGGATTACAAGCCGCAAGTTTATCCTTTAAACGAACAACAGATGTAATTTCTTTTTTATCAAGAAAGTAATTTCTTTTGTCGTTTCAATCGACGTTTCTACCTACGATTTTGTTGGAAGATATTTTTCATATAATTTTGAAACATCGTGTAACGTTTTGCGTATAATATTGTGTATATAATATTTTGTATGTATATATATATTTTTTTTTATTTCTTATAATTCTGAAAGTCGAAAGTGCCTTTTCGCTTTTTATTCATTTCTCACGCAGGAGTTCGAATGATCTCTATATAGTTCCAAAATCTATATATATAGCTTCTGATATAATTTCCAAAGTTTCCTCTCGCAATATTTCCAACCATTAAACCATCTTACCCGAATGATGTAACATGTAATCCTAACTTGACATTTCTAATCCAAATTATCTATCCAATTGAGAAATGTAGTAAATAAAAAGCAATGAATTGAATTTCGAAATTGTTTTTCAAACAAAGAGGTAGAACTTGTGGGAAACAAAACCTGACGGATACTTCATTCTTTCACAAATCCAGAAAAACACTCAAATTTTAGAAAGTTTATTAAATATACAGATTAACATCACGCTAGAGAAATATCTTGCATAAACACGAGTGAACTTCCGATACTATCCCTGGCGGAAAGTTTTCGATAAATAAATACATACATATTCGAAAATAATCAAAAACATTGAAATCCTTTCTGCCCACTGAATCCAATCCAGGAATTTCCAACTTTATTTTCTCACGCGTTGCAAACAGATGTGCAATATTTTACACAGTCTGAAGGCTTCGATGTTTTTAGATATCTTCAAATTTATACTTCAAAAAACATCTGGCTAGCGTATTCGTCAAAATTAAAAGAATAATGTTATAGATAGCAAAATCTCTACGAGGTCTTATAATATCGAACTGACAACAAAATATTATCAGTCTGTAATCAACTATTAAACGAAATCGTAGCAATTGTTGATCGATTAATCACTGTTAAAAATAAAATTCAGCACTAAGCGATAGTCATTAATTTTTAAAATCATCGAGTGATTTCTTTTTCTTCTTTTTTTTACGATCTAGGGTCGTCCTATTCAATGTAACTAAACATTAATAAAAAAGAAAGTAATACTATCCGTGTGTTGTCGGATCTGAGGTACTTTATTAAGATCAATTACAATTCTCTGATACATTTTTACAATCACTGATTAAGAATCAATGGACATGGACGTAATATGGAGGGATGTCAGAATTTTGATCATTTGATAAAGTCATCATTTTAAATTATACGAAAGAGAATTATAATACTAATATAGAGAATTATTAATTATAATCGATGGAAAATTTCCTGAACATTCGGAAAAAATTGTCGTTGCAAAACAGTGCAAACAATAAATCTATACATGTCCTACAAAATATGATTATTGATTATTGTATTCGCCTTGCCTAACTTTCTACTTAAATAACGATTCTAATCGAGCAACAGCAAGAGTATTGCTGGCTAAATGTCAGACAGAGAGAGAGAGAGAGAGATAATTAAAACGAGAGAGCATTAAGAAATAACACAGTCGTATTTCGTCCTCTTTCTGTTGATGAGCACACACAGTTTTTCGCGCGTGCGTAAGGAGGAAAGAAACGGTGGTGAACAGGTGGCAAACACGAGCACGAGATGTCTATGGTGTCTACGTGTAAGAGACGGTCCTTTCAAAGCGAATCACTCCGCCACGTCCCGAACTTAACTCTAATGAAATTCTAACGAACGTTCCATGCCGTGAAGTCCACTTGCGGCGGCCGCAATTAAACGTTCCTGGCAAACATCAGGCGTACCAGGATGACGGCCTTGTTGCGTTGGTTGAAGATCCAGGCCAACACCTGGTGGCTGAAATCGCCGCGTGTTTCGCTGTCCATCCGGCTACAACACACGCATGTACTGTGCTCGCTTGCAACGAGCTGTCGTTTGGTCGAGAAAAAAATTTGAGAGAGCAGAAATCTCTGAGCGGCCGAGATTCGACTAATTGCAGACAAATGGCATAGAATCTTAATCAGTTGCAATTGAAGAGCAATATTTTTTATTCGTCAGACAAGTGCACGGTTCAAAGGATAAAGGGCGTTCCGAAATTTGAGTAGGTACATTCGTAAATCAATTGGTAGTAGTAAGTAAATTAGTTAAGCAAAAGCATAATAAATATAAAATTCTGGAACGGTTAAAGCTTCTCTGAGTAAATAATGAATAATTTATTCGGCGTATATTAATAACAGTTGGAAATATTTTTATTTTTCCAGACAAAAACGTACGATCCGCAAAATAAAGAGTGCTCGAAAATCTGAATAATCATTCAACTTACGGCGACATTGAAATTTTAATCAATGCTAATTAAACGCCGATACCATCGTTTTCCAAAGGAACGTACGACGAAGATTACTAAAACTACGATTCCACTTTCACACTGACATCATTGTGCGCGGGTACGCACGCAATTACGCGAATTCGGTAAACATCTCTGGAGATGCTGGCGTGGAGAAATCTCGCGCAATCTCGCAGGAAGTGAAAAACAGCCCTCGGAGGAATCACAGACTCTTAAAACGCGTGAAAGAGGGGCGAAGGCGTGAGAGAGAACAAAAAGGGCTGTGGAGGGATATCCTTGCATCGGTGCGCAATAAGCGTTTTCACTCGAGTGGCAGCCTGAAAAATTTTCAGACCGGGCGTTTCCTCTCGCCAGGCAAGAAATGGCGTCAGGCAGGTATGATTCCACGAGATTTATTCCGTGGCTGAAGTCGGCCATTTCTCCGCCGACTGCTGGTGTCGTTGCGCCCGGTATTAAACATTCCAGGCATTGCGATACCTTCCATCGTTCCGCCGCTCATCCTCCGATACACACGCTCCACTACATACCCACGCCACGTCCTGATCATCAAACCACGCGCGCGCGCGTTCGTTTAACGCTGATAAAAATACTCGGAAGGTTGCTCGTCGTTGAAGCAAAAATTGGCGAGCAGTTCTTAAGATCTGCAGTTCTGATTTCTGGTGTGACACGAAGTTCAAGCGAACGTTGATTAATTTTAAATGCGAATTTTTATACTACGCGGTTCTTAATACTAGTGCTAAACGCATATACCTATCTCATTATAAGGGGTCAAACGATCTCTCGCGGTACATAAGGTATGCAAAGAATTTTTCTCGGTAAAGAATAAGCTAAGAGAAAAACAGAAAACGAGAAACTGAATAGTCAGATAATATAAGAATTTACAAGAAGACAGATTAGCGAAAGAAATAACAACGAATGTACAATTTTAACGTGAATTTTGAAAAGGGGTCATTTGACCCCGCTTGGTACGTTCAGTGTCAATTTTCCTCGTAAAATGTGTGAGATCATTGTGGTACAAAATTGAACACTTCTATTCTATCTGAGAATAGATTATATATAATAATTGAATGGGGAAAGAATTTGTATCTTTCATTTCGCTCGGGACGATGAAAATCTTCAAACTTCGAACTTTGACGAATCGATTTCAAACTGTCGAGGACGCAGTCAATCGCTGTCTATAACTTAGAATCGAATTGGAATTTTGAAGAAGTGATTTGCTGAATATTGTACACACAGAAAGTCTTCGTTCTAGTCTGGATTCTATTTATTAGAATTAAACGTCAGTCAATGGTCGATTAAATGAATGCATGAACGAGAAATCACTGATAGATGGCGAAAATCACTGGACACTTATTATACAAATTTTGTCAAACACAGAATATTATTGTACTCAACATCTGACAGATTCTTCAATTATAAAGTAGAATTCAATATCCCGCAATATAATGAAACGAGTAATAACTACTATGTATTCGAGTTTTAAGATGGAATTTAATACTCTACAACATAACGAAATACATATTCAATTAGAGCGTTAATTTGTTTTTCAATTTTCAATCTATACGTTAAGCAGATACTTAATACTCCAACTGTTGTGCTTGAATTACGAAATCCAAGCCTTTCCCCGTAGAATGTCTCAGATGATGTTTCAAGCATTTTACTTCGTGATACAAATATTTCCACAGAAATCGTCGGAGAGATTGTCTCGTCTGTGATAGTAAATTAATTTCAGAGAAATAAGAACAGACGATTTGTCCTTTTCACAACGAAAAACGGAGTATCGATGCTTCTCTTCAGCTGTCCTGCACAGGTTTCCTGCTTCCGGCGACGTATTAAAACACTGTTCATTAAAAATATACTTGTTGTAACTTCGATTTCAGTAATTTCGATCTTACTCGATCTATGAAAATCCATTCTACTCAACAGGAAAACAACAGTTCCGTGTAAAACTTTGCTTCACTCCCTAAATGTCGCAGCAAGTACTTTATATTCTAATTTTATTACTAGAACGATATTCGTTTTATTTTCCCTCGCGGGAAACGAATTCCATGTCAAAAATTTATTTCAAAGTTGTTCACACTTTATAATTTATATTCACTCTTTGTTGTTTGTTATATATTTTGCTTAGTATTTATATAAATTGCATTCACTTGGTACGTCCGATTGATCCTCAAACGAAGCTAGAGAACAATTTGTTCGCGATCTGAAAATGACGAATATCGGAAACATATTGAATTATGAATGAGAAATTAATGGAAGCTTCGCCGAAAATTGATTTTGCATATTAAAAGGAGCCGTATTTTATTGGGTTAAAGTGATTGCAATTGATAAAAGCGGACGTCACTTACGGATGATTCAATTTGCTGGCAAATAATTAATGGAAATTAGGAAAAGAAGCGCCGGTAATATTATTATATCGGGGCTACGTCAAATTTCATATCAGCCCATCGAGATCCTTTCAGAGAAATTAAAATCATTCGAATGTAGGTTAACGCCCCCATTTTTCAGAAACGGACGTATTTATCTAGATGATTATCTAGATGAGAACGGACGAAAAACTTCGAATGCATTTAACTCACAATCGCAGTACCTCGAGCTCTTTAAGAAGAGATCCAATCTGGCCTGTGAATTTATTTCTTCAAATTGAAATATAGGCGCCATTTAAAAAAAAATGAATAAAAGTAAATGAAAATATTCATTTCCTTTTAAATATAAATAAATAGACCGTGAACGTTATACGTATTTCAAAGTTGGAAATTTAATTTTAATTTCAATTGAAGGCTGAAGTTAAAATTGCAGTTTCATAAATTTAATTGAAAATAAAATATCTAGAAAGCTCGATTTCTTCTTTTATGATTTTC